CCCCCCCCCCAGTCCTGGGGATTGAACTCAGGGCCTAGGCACTACCCCTGAGCTGCTTTTGCTCAAGCACTAGCACTCTACCTCTTGAACTACAACACCACTTCTGGCTTTTTCTGTTTATGTGGTACTGAGGAATGGAACCCAGGGCTTCATGCATGCCAGGCAAGTACTCTATCACTAAGCCACATTCCCAGCCCAAGAGATTTTTTTTTTTTAGGCAAAGATTCAAATATTATTTCCATTACTTGCAAAACTATTGGTAGGCAGACTTCTTTTTTTAAATATGTATTTTATTGTTTCTGTAGAGGTGATAGTAGATGAGACAGGTTATGGAATATTTTTGGATAGTGAAGCTTAAAAGTTTTATTTGGCCACATTTAATTAGAACTTAGTAATGTATTATTTTTATTAAGATGGATGTAAGTTTTCAAATGGTAAAATTTATAAATGCATACAGTTTAAAAGAAAATCACTTAATTACAAATGGTTTTTGGACAGGCATGTTCGCATCCATACTGGAGAAAAGCCATATAAATGTGATGAATGTGGGAAGAGTTTCACGGTGAAATCTACCCTTGATTGCCACGTGAAAACGCACACAGGTAAGGACAGCTCCTGTGATATCGGTAGATGCCAGGTGTGTCATATCTGAACAGCACTTTGCCTGAGTATTTTCAAAAATTATAAAGTGTAAAATTCAGGACCTACAAAAATATATATGGGAGACTTTTTATTCTTGACAAGGAAAATGATCTAACTAAGAAAAAGGGAGTAGATCTCAAAAGTCAAGTTGCAAATCATCTTCTTATACAGGCTTACAGATTTTCTTCTCAAATGTGACCTTAGGCAGGCAGTCGGCTGTGGTTTTGTGGAATCTGGGGACGTGGTAAGTCTGACAGTAGTCACTGGGCTGTACACTGCGAGAAGAAAATCTTATGAAGGGAGAACTCACCAGTCATTTTCCTAGCCTTTCTTCCACCGGATTTGAGGACCTACGAGTCAGTTGGACCCATCCAGATGGCATCCTCCGTGCTTGAGTCCATCCCGCCGTGCGTTATTGTGGTCACAGAGTGGCTCTCCTTCTTCTGACGAGGGACCCATCTGTGAGCCTGATGCGGGTGAGGCAGGCTGCGTCCTGAGCTGTAGGCTCCTGCTTGGAAGGGGCTCCGTCACTGCCGCTGTGATGCACCAAGACACACGTGTGACACACAATCCTCAGAGAACATTAGAGAGGGTTGAGATGATCAAACTGTTATTAACAATTCAAATTGGAATAAATGGAATCTGTGCAAAGTTCTACAATATTTTTCTGATGGGCTCTTTGGGACTGTATGAACAGACATGGGAACATTTAATAAGATTCTTTATTGTAAGTTGAGTGCTGGTGGTTCACACCTATAATCCTAGCTACTAAGAAGTTGAGATCAGAGGATTGCAGTTTGAAGTCAGCCTGGGAGGGAAAGTCTGGGAGACTCAATCTCCAATTAGACAGCAAAAAAGCTGGAAAGGGGAACTGTGGCTCAAGTGGTGGAGCATCAGGACAATGCCCAGGTCCTGAGTTCAAGCCCCAGGCCTGGCACCACGGAAAGAAAAATTCTTTTTGCAGCTGTTCTAGTCAGTGCTTGAATCATACTGTGGTTTCCAGATACTGAAACTCAGAGAGTTGTGAAAATTCAGAATTACAGTTGTGAACAGCTCTGGCAGTTTCCAGAACTGCCGACACCCCGCTGTGATGGGTCTCTACTGCACTTCCTGGTGGGGTCTGAGCGTCCACTCGTCTGCCAGGGTGTCTGTGAGGGGCCAGTCACCAGCCCCCACTCATTCTTGTGGCTTTTCACAGGTCAGAAGCTGTTCAGCTGCCACGTGTGCAGCAACGCCTTCTCCACAAAGGGAAGCCTGAAGGTCCACATGCGCTTGCACACGGGAGCCAAGCCTTTCAAATGTCCACACTGTGAGCTACGCTTCCGCACGTCAGGGCGGAGGAAGACTCACATGCAGTTTCATTACAAGCCAGACACGAAGAAAGCCAGGACGTCTGTGGCACAAAGCCCTTCGGAAGGACTGCGGCCTGTGAACCTCCTCAGTTCTTCCTCCCCTGACCCCAGTGTGTTCATCATGAATAACTCGGTTCTGACAGGACAGTTTGATCAGAATTTGCTTCAGCAAGGGCTGGTGGGCCAGGCTATCCTCCCTGCCTCTGTGTCAGGTGAGGCTCCGTGGGGGGTGGACTGGCCACTGATAGTGCATGTCCCCTCATCTGTCTCTGGACAGAAGAAATACTGCAGCTAGACAGCTCCCTTCCTTGAGCCTTTCCTTTGCAAGGCAGCAGGAAGAATTCACATTTCATCATTCACCCGTCCACTTCCTATTCCTTTTCCCATCACATTTACTTCTTAACACCTCAACACATCGATTAGCTTTTGTTTTTGTTTTTTGTGTTTTTTTTTTGTCAGATGTGGGGCCTGAACTCTGGGCCTGGGCGCTGTCCCTCAGCTCTTCAGCTCAAGGCAGGTGCTTTACCGTTTGAGCCACAGCACCACTTGCGGTTTTCTAGTGGTTTTTATTGGAGATAAGAGTCTCATGGACTTTCCTGCCCGGGCTGGCTTTGAACCGTGATCCTCAGATCTCAGCCTCCTGAGTAGCTAGGATTACAGGCGTAAGCAACCGGCGCCCAGCTAGCTTTTGTTCTTTTTTTTTTTTTTGGGTCCAGTCATGGGGCCTGAACTCTGGGCCTGGGCACTGTCCCTCAGCTCTTCAGCTCAAAGCTAGCGCTCTACCACTTGAGCCACAGCGCCACTTCCAGCTTTTTTCTTTTTGCTTATGTGGTGCTAAGGAATCGAACCCAGGGCCTTGAGCATGCAGAGTAAGTGCTCTACCACTGAGCCACCTTCCCAGCCCCCTAGCTTTTGTTCTTAAACTTATTTCTTTTCCATCATCATTCCCCAAAACTTAGTAATGAGATACATACTTTACCCAAATACAACATTTACTACAGTGCCTTACCCAGTTGTCACCCATGGTGCTTAGAAAGACTTAAATGTATTCACATACTTAGAAATAAATGTTGCAGCCCTGCCAGTGTTTAGACATTTCTGTGTGCCTTCCCTTGGAAAACAGCTGTGTAGCCACTCCTCAGTGGTTACTCTGTTTTAAATCTTGGACTAACTGGTAGGTGCTTTTGAGACATCTTTCTGATATATGTAAAAGAGATTTATTTCAGTGTTTGATTTTGTTATGGTTCAGTTAGTTAGCATAGATATTAGTATTCTTTAACTAGGTCATATTAATACGACATATCAGCCTTGCCTATTTATGTAAATAGGGAGCTTCTATGAGTTCTTTCAGACTTCAAAGCGTTTCTAACACTCCGTCCTTCGCTTCTCTTCTGGCCAGCCGGTGGGGACTTGACGGTATCTTTGACGGATGGGAGCTTGGCTACCCTGGAAGGTATCCAGTTACAATTGGCTGCTAACTTGGTTGGCCCAAACGTTCAGATTTCTGGAATTGATGCCTCCAGCATTAATAACATCACGTTGCAGGTATGACAGCTGCCATACTTTTTTGCTTCAGTATTGCCTAAATTACATAGATGGTGTCACATTTTCAGGACACATGTCTCTTGCTTTTCAGATTGATCCAAGCCTTTTGCAGCAAACTCTACAGCAGAGCAGCCTGCTCACGCAGCCCCTGTCAGGGGAGTCTGGCATGGCCTCACAGAGCAGCTCTGTCCCAACTACTCCAGACAGCACTGTCCCAACCAGCGTGGTCATTCAGCCCATCCCAGGCCTGTCCTTGCAGCCCACGGTGACCTCTGCTAATCTGACCATTGGCCCGCTGTCAGAGCAAGATTCTGTGCTGACCACCAGCAGCAGTGGTGAGGGCTGGACACTCACACACTCCAGCAGCTGGAGAGTGTTTTGTGCTGATGACTGCATGTTTGATTAGGACATAATGTAGCCATTTTCTTTGTAAAGCTAAAGGTCTAAGAATGAGTTTATCTTAATTAACAGTGCTCATTCAGTATGTCTGTAGATTGCTACATTCCTAGATTTACTTTTCTCATGCTGGCTTCCCTTTTCATCCTAAGGCTTTTGAAAATGGTCTTTATTACTTATTAGTCATTGTTTTATTGCAGCACTGGGGATGAACTCTGTGGCTTTGTGCATGCTAGGACAAATCTTTTTCCATGACGTAATTAGAGATGATTGCTAGTTTATTTTAGCCTTTATCTTTTTGAAGTAATAATTTGTAAATGAGTAAAGAGAGCTGTGTTCCATGGTGGAACTTAACTGTGGTTTGCTGTGTCTGATAAGCAGGAACCCAGGACCTCACTCAGGTGGTGGCTTCACAGGGCATCGTGTCTACCTCCACAGGCCCCCACGAGATCACCCTGACCATCAACAACTCAAGCCTCAGCCAGGTCCTGGCCCAGGCCGCCGGCCCTACCGCCACGTCATCTGCGGGGTCTCCCCAGGAGATCACCCTGACTATCTCTGGTGAGTAAGTTACAGACTAGATGATCACTGCAGATCATCTTGCTTGGTTCTCTTTTCCACAACACTTTTCTCTACCCAAGTCATGGCTCATTTAATTACTTTCCAGAGTCGGCTACTTAGCTGTTCTTGTTTAGCAAAGTGAGGAATGGCTTTCTGATTCTTATGTTCCATTCATCAGGGAATGTAATTGGTGTGAGCTGGGCACACCAGGATACAATCAAGCATGATGCTTGCCTGCTGCCGTCTTCAGAATACTACTCAGATTACGTGGGAAAAGTTAAAATACATAGAAAAGCCATTTGCTAGGAAAATGTCCTTAAAACTGGATTCTGCAGGTCAGCCACTGAGCCTTTGCTGCCCTGTGTCACGAGGCCCAGAAGGGAGCCTGGGTGTGGGCATGGCTCATAGAAGAAAAGACCAGTCCTTGCCTGATATGTCACAGGTTCGTCCTCTCAGCACTAACTGCTAGAGGAAATATGGAGAGGCTTTGTTGTCCTTTTGAAAGAAAACCCCTATGTCATACAAGACATGTTAGTACATAAAAGCTCGCACAAGCTGTCTTGGTGGCATGCCTTCCAGAACACGTAGATGTGAGGGCTGAAGGGAGAGGAGGAACGTAGCTCCCCAGGTTGCCCCGCTGTACTTGGATATTGGAGCTGAGCATCCTGAGCATCCTGCTTGGTGCCGGGAGTTGTCTGACTTTTCCTCCTTCGTGGTAGCAGGGGTATCATTTCCCCTCTTCCATGCTGCTCTTTCTCTGCCATTTGCTGAAGAAGCAGTGTGTACCCACCTGTAGAGCTACACACTCAGAAAACAAAAAAGTGGAACTCTGGTGCTGTTGGATGTGCAGGAGCCGCTGCATGGCTCTTCTCACGCCCTGGGAAAGTGGCTTCCCCGCTGTCCAGTGACCTTCCCTTGCCTCTTTCATAGAGCTTAATCCTGCAAGTGGGACCATCCCTTCGTCCACACCAATGTCGCCCTCAGCCATCTCCAGCCAGAACCTGGTCATGTCCTCTTCAGGCATGGGGGGTGATGCGAGCGTCACGCTGACCCTGGCTGACACTCAGGGTGTGCTGTCAGGAGGCCTGGACACGGTCACCCTCAACATCACCTCGCAGGTGAGTGTCCTAGGGGACCAGAGGTGCCCGTGGAAACACCAGCTTCTTCTGTGCTAAGGCTACACTGCTTCCTTTCACAATTAATACTTTTCTCACTAAAAAAGTAATGTGGTCAACGTAGAGATCCATAAAATTCCAACCATTAATTTCACAGCGCAAATAGAACTAGGATGGGCATGTTGGTGAATATGGCTATGTATGCAAGATAACCTTTTCCACACTCTGCATAAATAAGGTCATGTGGCACATTATGACCATCTTCTTTTATGAGTAATTTTAATAGAGCTGAACTTTGTTGTTGGTAGTAGTTGTAGGGCTTGAACTCTACACTGTCCCTGAGCTTTTGTGCTCAAGGCTAGTATTCTACCACTTTGAACCATAACACTTCTGGGTTTGGGAGGATTGGAGACAAGAGTTTTACAGACTTTTGTGCCTAGGCTGGCTTCAAACCATGATCCTCAGATCTCAGCCTCTTGAGTAGCTAGATTACAGACATGAGCCACCGGCAGCCTGCATAAAGCAGAACATTTAATGGCTGTACAGCATTTAATTTTGTAGATGAGCCTCATCAAAGGATTAGTTATTTTGGAGTTTACTAAGTCATACAGAATTGTGAATTCCTGCCAGATAGGCTCCATCAAAAGCGTGTATCTTTTACTCTCCTGCCTCGGCTGAATGACTAGAAAGTTTTCAGAGTCTCACCTAGAAAAATCATGGTAATAAGTCGGCTCTCAGATGTTCACCATCAGCACTGAGGTGCAGATGGCATGAGTGGCTTAGCAGTGCTCTGCAGTGGAAGTGTTGCACGCGAGTGTGGAAGCAGAGCCGAGAGAGCCAGAACGCAAGAGTCACGACAGGTACGTATCACAGAAAGTCCAGGAAAGAGGGCCTGGGGGTTTAGCCCAGTGGAAGGGCGCCCGCCCGGCACGCGCACAAGGCCCTGGGTACAGTCCTCAGCCCTGGAAAAAAAAACCCAAAAAGTCCAGGAAAGAAAATGGTCCTAAAACCATGTCAGTAGTTTACTTAAATTATGTTTTCCCATAGTTTCTGCCAGACAGGCAAAATTGAAACCATACCAGAGTATTGAAGTCCAGAATTAATCCTAACTACAAGAGCAGCACTTTATGTATTCATGACAGGAATTCTACTTTATGAGTTCTTACAATGTTTTAAATGAAGCTACTTATTGTTACAGATAATTGACCAGGTGAAAATATTTAAAACTTGGTATGTAAACATGTATATGTGGCTTTGGGAGCTCAGTAAAACAAGTCAGGAGCTGACAGGTCTTATTAAGACCTGTGGTGTGGCCAGAGCCTGCACGGGACCAACAGCCCTCTCACGGCTTCAAGGACTGGGGACGTCTGGTCCTGCTGCTTGCAACAAGAAGCCTCAGTAGTTTTGTGTGGCATAGTAAGACTGCATGTGTGCCTTAAAGGTGCTCTCTTTTTCACATTTACATCAGTAAATGCCATTTATATTCTCTAGTGTCACCTGTAGTTTTGTTTTTGTTTTTGTTTTTTTTTCTTCTTTTTTTTAATTTTTTTTTTTGTGAACACACTGTACAGAGGGGTTACAATTACATGGGCAGGATAATGCGTACATTTCTTACCAAGCATTGGAGCCTCCTCCTTTGTTTACCCTTCACATCCCTTCCCAGCCTCCCCCTCCCCAATCCCCCCCCCCCACCAATGATGTAAAGCTCGTTCCACATGACAACTTTCACCTGTAGTTTTTATGGTGGAGTAATATCCTCTGCTGCCACTAGGTGTCGTGGTAGACTGGAGATAATTACACTGAGTCAATAACCCAGGGTGTAGAAAGATAAATACTGTGTTTTGTCTCCATACACAGGATTTGAACACACTGACTTGATGAATTATAGAGAAGAATATGAGCCACTAAGGCTAGGAAGGTTGAGGGAGGAGAGGGAGACTGCACATTCAGGTGGCATGCATCCTAGAGTACTGCAGCGTGGCAGGTGGCGCCCTTCAGAGGGAAGGTGGGAGGATCCCCCACACTTAGCTTGAGAGCCTACATGTTCCTTGACATTTCAGGGTGCTCTGTGCACAGGAATGCTGGTTTATAACCACGCAGCTTAGAGACTCGCATCTGAAGAGGTCCACTGTCCACTACAGTGTGTGTTTGTGGAAATCTTAAAAAATGTAAACAGTTCGACGGCTAGTTAATAGGGAATTGAATAGTGCTAGAACCACAATACAGATGGTAGTGTACAGGTGAGTGTTTTTAACATTTTAGAGTTTTGTTCACAAAATCGAGTGCTAGGACATATGATTACCTTGAAGAGCAGCCTGGTGTCACTGGTGGTTGCTCCCGCATTCTCCTCCTACCAGGTCGTCCCTAAACCTTGCTTTTAGTTCCAGCGCCTGGCAGTTTCTCATCTCCTTTCTGTCCCTGCAGATTTGTTCTGGCAGTTGATATAATCGGAACAGACAGCAGGTAGTTGTTGTTCCCAGGTCGCAGAACCCCACCAAGAAGACCACCGAGAGTCAGACTTTACAGCTGTTTTAAGGTTTTATTTAGACGGGCTGCAGCTCGGGCCTCGTCCTACACTCCGACACAGTGGAGCCTAGGAGGAGAGCCTGAGCTAAGGATTTGCAGGGCTTATAAAGGCACACAGCCAACCAGGTGTTTGGATTACCACCACGTATTGCTCTGCTAGACAGAATTTGCTGATCTTAGGTTTAGTTTAAACAAGCAACAAGTGGTCACTGCAAAACTTTAACCCTTCATTCCCCCCCTTGACTTATGGTCCTGAGACACAATCTTGTGGCTCTGGTCCAAAACTAAACTCCAACAGCTCTCAATCTTGACTAGTCCCTCTCTGACCTTAGCCATGTTGTCTTTTGCTATTCAAAGTTCCTGTTGTTGTACTGAGTGGCTCCCAGGAGTTCTGCAAATGATCAACAATACCAATAACAATCAGTCCACTTTTCTTTATGCTGAGTGGTTGGGTAGGATTCTTGGAGACTTCCCATGTTTCCCCATGGTCGTCCAGGGCAAAGGGGTCAGCCGGTCTGGCGAGCAGTGGATCCAATCAGCAATGCCGTCCACTTTAAGGGCAGTGAGTGTAGCCAGTAGCACCATGTAAGGTCCCTTCCACTGTGGTTCCAGAGATCTCAAGTTGTGCCTTCAAACAAACACCCAGTCCCCTGGTTTAAACAAATGGGGGGTAGGAATAGAAGCAGAATCATATAATGCTCTAAGCTGGGGCCACATACTCTTATGCACCAGTTGTAAATAGTCAAGCTTACACAGAAATTCAGTGTCATCCAAATGCTAGCAATTCAGTCTGAAGGCTAGGGATAATGGGTGGAGGGTATCCATACATTATTTCAAAAGGAGTAAAGCCAAGCTGATAGGGTGAATTTCTTACTCTAAACAGGGCAAAAGGAAGGAGTGATACCCTGTCTGAGCCAGTCTCCAAGGCCAATTTAGTTAAGGTCTCTTTTAGAGTCCGATTCATTCTTTCTACCTGCCCTGAACTCTGAGGTCTATAAGCACATTGCAATTTCCAATCTGTACCCAGTGTCAGGGCTATTCCCTGACTTACTTTTGAGACGAAGGCTGGTCCATTGTCCGACCCGATGGTGGATGGGAAGCCATACCTGGGTAGGATTTCTTCTAGTATCTTCTTAGCCAAGACGTTTGTAGTCTCATGCTTTGTTGGGTAGGCTTCAACCCATCCTGAAAAGGTGTCTACAAAACCAGCAAATATTTATATCCAAACTTTCCAGTTTTAATTTCTGTGAAGTCTACTTCCCAGTACACACCTGGTCTTATCTCCACGGAGGCGAGCTCCTTTTGTAACCAGTAGATTGGGGACACTGGTGTGCTGACAGGCTTTACAATTTTTAACAGTGTCCTCGATGAGTTGATTTCCTTGCCTAATTTTTACTTCTGAGTGTCAGAGCAAGTCCTGCATTCTTCGGGTTCCCATGGAACCCGATGGATTCTCTTAAGAATCCCCTTGTCCAATCTTTGTGGCAAGATATCTTTGTTTCCTTCTATGTCCTGGCCATGGGAATTTTCTTTGTCCACTCCAAGTCTTCTTGGGAATACTGAGGCTCAGGAGGCAAAGCTCGTGGCCCTGGGTCTACTAGAGTCAGTACTTCCACTTTGGGCTGGAGGGCCGCCTTCTTAGCTGCCTGATCGGCCAAGTTATTTCCTTTGGTTATAGAATCAGTTGCCTTTTGATGGCCAGGACAGTGCATAATGGCAATATTTGCTGGTTTCCATGTGGCCCGGATGAGGCTTAAAATTTCTTGTTTGTTTTTAATAGTCTTTCCCTCAGCTGTCAGCAGACCCCTCTCTTGGTAAATGGCTCCATGTACATGCATGGTGGCAAAAGCATATCCACTGTCCATGTAAATGTTTAGTCTCTTCCCTTTTCCCATTTGTAGGGCTTTTGTTAGTGCCACTAGTTCTGCTCTTTGTGCAGACGTTCCCTGGGGGAGTGCTTCTGCCCACACTAACTCAGTGTCTGTGGTGACTGCTGCGCCCGCATACCTTTTTACATCTCGAATGAAACTGCTGCCGTCTGTGAACCAGGTATGCTCGGCATGCGATAGTGACGAGTCCAATGAGTCTGGCCTCTTTTCCTTGGCCCGGTCTCTCTTTTCATGCTCAATTTCATGTTCTCTGTCCTTCCTTTCCTGTCTTTGCTCCTCTGTCTCTCTTTTATTGTAAACCTTTTCCACCACGGCTACTAGATCCCTAGCAGACTTTTCACTAAGTTTGTCTGAGCCTGCAACTTTCGCTTTATGTCTGGTGGAGCTTGAGTTATATAGGCAAACATAATCATCTGAGCCGACTCCTGGGTCTCAAGATCATACGGGGTATATTGACTAAAAGCTTCCATGAGCCTGTCAAGATATGCTGCCAGACTTTCACTTCCTCCCTGTCTAACATCATAAACTTTGGCCATATTAGTAGGTTGGCGAGCCACTGCATTGAGACCTGCCAACAGAGCCTGGCAGTAGACAAGGAGTCGCTCCCTACCTTCAACCGTATTGTAGTCCCATGTTGGTCAGATCTCAGGAAAATAGACAGTAATCGGGGCAGGATCTGTGATGCGTGCTACTGTGGGGCCAGGGATATGTTTCTGGGCCGCCTCTCGGATACGGTCTCTCTCTTCAGTGGTAAAAAGGACCTGTAAAAGCTGACTGCAATCATCACAAGTGGGCTGATGAGTAAAGAGAATAGTTTCAAGCAAGCGAATTAAATCCTGGGGTTTCTCAGAAAAGGGGGCATTTTGGGTGTGCCAATTGTATAGATCACTGGTACCAATATTGGAGTTGCTGTTGATCATCCGCATCCATAGGACCTATGGCGTGTAAGGGAAAAACAGCTGCATTAGAAGGGGGGTTGATCCCACGGCATCATCGAGTGACTGGCCCCTCAGAAACTTTAAGGGCAGGTGCCGAGGGTTCTATAGCTCTCTCCTCCTCTTGATCATTCTCAGGCTCTGCAAAAGGAACTTGGGAAGGGGAGTATGGGGGAGGAAACATGTCTTCTTCCAAGTTATCTCCCTGAAAAACTGGGGGTACCTTTTCTTTTCCTCTTTCTTATTTTCTTTTTGTAAGTCTAGGGGGCTAGATGGAGTGGTGCCCATGGTTTCCAGTCCCGTCAGTCGTTCAGTCCAAAAAACAATAAACAGTACAAACAAAACACACACAGACCTGACAGTAAAAAAAATAGCTTACGAAGTGGAGATCTCCCGAATTGGTCCGCTGACTCCTGTCACGGAGGGGTTCCACACCCCTGCCCCACAGCAGAAGAAGCGGACCCACAGTGCGCAACTTGGGTCTTGGTTAGGAGGTCCTCTTGGTCAGTTCCGGCCCAACACTGAACCGACCCACGCTCCACAATTCACATGGTGGGGTTCCAAGGATCCCCCCTGCCCCACAATTCACACGGCAGGGTTGACCCCCTCCCCCTACAAGAGGATCTGGGATGTCTCCCAGTTCCTTCAGGGTTGTCGTGTAAGCACATCCGCTTTGACAACCCTTTCCACAATACGAATCAGAGCGGCCGTCCTCACAAAGGAAAACGAAAGTACAATCAGACAATGATAGGACAAGACAAATTAACAAAAACAGTGCTGTTTTACCTTTGGAGTCTGAGGTCTCGGGAGTCTTTGGGGGGATCCTGGATGAGCCCCCACTAGTATGTTGTGCTTTGAGGGGATCCTGGATGAGCCCCCACTAATATGTTGTGCCCAGGTCGCAGGACTCCCACCAAGAAGATCACCGAGAGTCAGACTTTACAGCTCTTTTAAGGTTTTATTTAGACGGGCTACAGCTCAGGCCTAGTCCTACACGCCAACACAGCAGAGTCTAGGAGAAGAACCCTGAGCTAAAGATTTGCAGGGCTTATAAAGGCACACAACCAACCAGGTGTTTGGATTACTACCATGTGTTGCTCTGCTTGACAGAATTTGCTGATCTTAGGTTTAGTTTAAACAAGCAACAAGTGGTCATTGCCTCAAAACTTTAACCCTTAAGTAGTCTTCTGTAACTGGCCTTGTGCATGATAGTTTCCAGGTTCATTCGTGTTATGATGTGCTTCTTTCCTTCTTAGTGATTCCTGAATATTTCTACATATGGATATACCACAGTAATGATCCCTTATATGAATATACTGCATCCTTTAGTTGATGGATGTGTGGGTGGCTTCCACTTAGGACTATTATAAGTAATTCTGCCATCACCATTTTGTCTAGAGTACCCACTAGACCTGATTCTTTGTTTTCCTTTGGTTGTTGGGTTGAGTAGTAAATCTTGCTTTCCAGAGTGAGTGCACCACTGAAGAGCTTTGAAACTACTACTAGACTTGATAATGCTACAACTTCTAAAATGGTCATCTTTTGCCAGGGTCAGCAATTCCCCACCTTGCTCACGGATCCCTCGGGCCAAGGTGGAGCAGGCTCACCGCAGGTCATCTTAGTGAGCCACACCCCGCAGTCCTCTTCTGCTGCTTGTGAAGAAATAGCCTACCAGGTATGATGGGTCCTTTGACCCACACGGACCTTCAGCGTGGTTGTGGCCTGGGAGGTCGGGCTGCCGGGAGATGCCTACTAGGAAATGTAACCGCATCAGTGGCATCAATGATGCAGCCACTGTCACAAATCTTCTAGAAGCTTCTGTTTGCCCATTGGTCAGTCTTCACAGAGACAGTTATACCTTCTCTTTTTTTTTTCTTTTTTTTGTCAGTCATGGGGCTTGTACCTGGGGTCTGGGTACTGTCCAGGTTAATTGGTAAATTAGAGATAAGAGTCTTGCCTGACCAGGCTGGCTTCAAAACATGACCCTCCCCTCTCAGCCTCTTGAGTGGGTAGAATTACAGACATGAGCCACCATCACCTGGCCTGCATTTACTTCTTTTTGCAGACTTTTCTGTAACACTTTTGCTTCGTCAGTCATGGTCCTTGAACACGGGGCCTGGCTGCTGTCCCTCAGCTCTTCAGCTCAAGGCTAGTAGTGCTCTACAACTTGAGCCACAGCGCCACTTCCAGTTTTCTGAGTGGTTTATTGGGAATAAGAGTCTCATGGACTTTCCCGCCTGTTTGAACCACGATCCTCAGGTCTCAGCCTCCTGAGCAGCTAGGATTATAGGCGTGAGCCACTGGCACCCAGCTTGCTTTTTTTCAAGTCTCTTTTTCACATACACACATGTGAATGTTCACAAGCACATGTATTTGTGAGTTAAGACCTAGTTCTTGTTTGACTAATTTTTCCTTAAAGTGCGTGTATAGCGATAGACACCTTTTATTAGGAACAAATCACCTGGAGCCAGGGCTGAGGAACCTTTTCTCCTTGGAGGGACATTTAGGTGCTCATCGCATCATTCTTGGGTCACACAGCATTATCAGTATGGGCAGAAAGAAGGGCTCTGGGCAGCATATGAGAAGCACATGTATCAAGTCTAAGGCCCGTGGTCTGGATGATCCCTACCCCTTAAAACTGTTTTCCTTAAAAGAGTCGCAGTTAGCTGTGTACAGAAAGCACATGCCTGTAATCCTAGCACCTCAGGAGGCTGAGATCTTGAGGATCATGGTTCAAGTCCAGCCCAGGTAGGAAAGTTTGTGAGACTCATATCCCCAAACACTACCAAAAACTTGGAAGTGGAACTGAGATAAAAGTGGTAGACTTGAACAAGAAAGTTCAGGGGCAGCACCCAGGCCCTGAGTTCAAGCCCCAGTACTGGCATACATATACACAAAAAAAGCCCAGATTAAAGCACAGGTGATTGGTAATCTCAGAATTTATGAAACAAGTGTGAAACTTATTCTCAAGCCAGGCACTCACGGCTCATATCTGTAATCCTAGCTACTCAGGTGGCAGAGGTCTGGAAGGTTAACGTTTGAAGCTAGCCTGGACAGAGTAATCCATCTCCATCTCCAAAATTATAATAAAAAAAGCAAGTCTGGCAGTGTGGTTCCAGTGGTAGAGTGGCAGCTGAATAATCTAGACAAGCAAGCTTGAGGTCCTGAAAACAAACCAACAAAGTTTATACCTAAACAAATGAGTTTTGAGCAAGATAAAGATGTTCTCACAACAGCATTAGGTTCAACTAACACTGCCCAGTCCCCATTTTGGCCTCAGTCACCAGAGTTGAGGCGCCCTCTTGGGGGTACAGCTTTAACCACTGCTGTTGGGTTTCCTGGGACTATGCTCCAGCTCTGTGGCTGACCACAGAGACCCGAGGGATGCTGAGAGATGGTGCACTTTCACAGTCGTGAGTCCTGTATCATAGCAGCAGGGGCAGGAAGGCAGGCAGACAGGTGGAGTCCCGCAGGACTCAGGTGTGCAGCGAGGTCCGGTCGCCCTCTCCCACACCCCTAGTGCTGTGTCCAGCTGCCTCTCTCTCGTCCCAAGTGGAGTAGCCAGTCTCTGTCTCTGCTTCTCTCTCTCTTACACACATGCGCGCACATGCCCTGTCATCAGTGTGGTGTCACGGACTGCGCTCCTTGTCCCAGCAGTGTTTGAGGACACTGTCAGTTGTTGATGGCCCATCGGCGAGCCGTGGAGTGCCCTGTAGCTGGTGTGCTGACAGATGGAGGGACACCTACATCCCTGGGCTGCCAAAATCAGCTGTTGACTATAAATCAGTGTTACCTGTCCATCTGGAGTTGCTTGTGGTCGTGTCGGCATTAGCAGGGTGTTTGTGTTAGTGGAAAGTGTTCTGTGTGGAGGAGTGCTCTCAGCCCCTTCACATACAGCACTGTGACTTCTAATTGTGTCTCCGTTGAGGAACAGGTAGCGGTGAATAAGCTTATCAGGAAGGCAGCAGTGGAGCTGGACTTGAACCTGGTTAGTCTGGCCCCAGAGCTTCCCATTAACCACTCTTGTAGCCAGCACATCCCATAGACTTAAGGCTGGGAGCAAGGGAAAGAGTGCGGGACACCCTGAGCTCCACAAGCCAGCGGCAGCTGGTGGCAGTGAGCTCAGAGACCACAGCATGCCCCTCACTCCCCACAGGTGACGGATGTCTCCACCCACCTGGCTGCCAGCAGCCAGCCTGAGAAGGAGGGCCCTGCCCACCAGTGCCTGGACTGTGAACGCAGCTTCTCCTCGGCCGCGGTGCTGATGCACCACAGCAAGGAGGTCCACGGCAAGGAGCGCATCCACGGCTGCCGCATCTGCAGGAAGGCCTTCAAGCGGGCCACACACCTCAAGGTATGCCAGGAGCAGGCAAGGCCGGCATGAGAAGCATCTCCTGGTCTTCTGAGGAAAGGGTCAGTGCTACAAACGCACGTACAAGGTTCTGTCACAGTGTTGTGTTCTTTATCAGTGTTATGCACACATAAATTGAATTCCATATTCACACTCAGTACAGTTAAAAACAACATCAATACCGTCTCTCTCCCCAGGCCATGGGAATGTAAAGGTTGACTATCGTCTGTTGTTGAGGCTATAGTGGTTCAAACTTTCATGACCTCTGGTGACTCCAGTGTGGCATGATGGGAGTGAAGTGACACCTCATAAAGGGCAGCGCATCCCTGGGGAGCCAGCCTGCAGGGGCCCAGCTGCACACGGCCACACAGGATGGAGGGGCATGGGATTCTGGCTGCCTGGCCACGGAGAAGTGGCGCGAAGGGTGGGCTCTCTGGAAGCTCCACCGGGCCCTGGACCCCTCCTTCTCCTAAGGGAAAGCATGTGGGAAGGGACAGAAACAGATGGACCTCACGTGGAGAGTCCTGACGGTGACTGGCCAGGAATTGACCAGGTAGGAGGACAGTGTCCATAGTCACATGGTGGGGTCTATGAAGAACATGGCACTCTCTTCCCAAAACTGGATTAGGAGAAAAATGTTGACCAGTCCAGGTTAGGTCACATCCTGCAAAAGACCCATCCAGGTCACCAAAGGCGAGGGTCTGGGGAAGTTGCAGCTCAGAGGCCTGAGGAGACACGGTGGGACATGTTGTGCTCGTAAGCATGACAAGACGCCGCTGTGCACAGCCTCCAGGGTCTCCCGTATCCAGCGCCCTCCCCGTGCACACTTCCTGTCCTCCCCGGCCCTGTGCAGTGCTCCGGGTGGAGTTGGGGGACCTGGGTGAGAGAGCCCTGTCTCTGAGAGCCTGTCAGCAGTGCCTGCAGGCTCTTCGTGGCGGGCGGTGGGCCATGGTGTCTGGGTGGACCTCAGTCGCATGAAGGGCAGGAGAAGGGCTTCACGGGGCTTCTCTCTGGCCAGCTGTGTGAGGTCTGCGTGTCCAGGCATCCCTCATGGCCTGTTGGGGAGGTGCTGCTGCCTCATGGGGGTCAGAGCCAGCCAGGGCTGTGGGCCTGCTGAGCAGCCATGCTCTGGTGAGACTGGGCCTCCTGTCTCTGCCAGCGGGCTGCCGGCCTGCACGCACAGTCACACCGTCACCTGGCTACTGAATTGTGCTTCCGGAGTGATGGGTTTTCCCTTTGCTGTTGCAAGTGTCTAAGATACTCGTGGTTTCCGTGTATTCTGCCAGGAGCATATGCTGACACACCAGGCAGGCCCCTCACTCAGCTCTCAGAAGCCCAGGGTGTTCAAGTGTGACACTTGTGAGAAGGCGTTTGCCAAGCCCAGCCAGCTGGAGCGCCACAGCCGCATTCACACAGGTAGGAGGCTGTTCTTGAGAAGATGGCATGGGGCGCGTATGTGTGCAGGCATACGGTGCTGCATTATGCAGGCCAGCAGGGGTGGGGTGGGGATGGAGTAGCTCGGAGTAGGAACCTTGGCTGTCTCAGCTCAGAGTCAGCTTGCACATCTGTGTCCCCCAGGAAGTGTTCTGCTCCAGGCTCTGGGCCCCTGCCCAGGTCGCCCCTCTGGTCCTCCATCTCCTTCAGGTGTCTTGTGCTAGGTACCTAGGGCTTCAGTCCTGGCCCCCACCAAGCATTCAGTAGAAGTGTAAACTAGCATCTGTGCTGTAACTTCCTAGTGATTTTAGTGAGAAACAGTTCAGAGAGAGAGAGAGAGAAAGAAAGAGCTGTGCTCCTGAAGAATAGAATGAAGGCATTGTGAAGATACTAGCGTGGGTTTCAGAAGTTCAGTGGCGGCTAACTGCTGTGGGTGCTGGGAGCACAGTGACGGCTAACTGCTGTGGGTGCTGGGAGCACAGTGATGGCTAACTGCTGTGGGTGCTGGGAACACAGTGACGGCTAAACTGCTGTGGGTGCTGGGAACACAGTGACGGCTAACTGCTGTGGGTGCTGGGAGCACAGTGACGGCTAACTGCTGTGGGTGCTGGGAGCACAGT